AGTAAGTGCTGAGGGAATGGGGGGTTGCACTACATTCAGAGCAGCACTCTCCTCTTGTCAGCTCAGGCTCTGCAGATTCAGGCAGCATCACTGTGTCCATTACACTCTGGGGAGCTATTGCCCCAGTTGGAAAGATCAGCTCCTTTTTGCCTTAGTTATGCCCAGGGTAGATCCCTCCCTTAGAGTACCCAGCTCAGGGTCTCTGCTAACACAGGTCTGGGTTTATGTACTGGGCAGATTTGAGGGTGGTGGTGCTGCTGTGACTGGGTTGGGTGGGATCTCACCTCCCTTTCCTCCCTCCAGCCCTGCGTTTCAAACTACTCAAGCACACGAGGCTGAATGTGGTCGCCTTCCTCAACGAGCTGCCCAGGACCCAGCATGACATTAACTCCTTTGTGGTGGATGTCTGCGCGCATACGGTGAATGCCTGTGATGCGGGGATGGGGGAAATGGCAGCCAGTTGTGCTGTGAGGGGTGGGGTTGGGGGAGAGTGCTCTCACCTTAAGGGCAGGATGGGCTGTGCCATGACACTGGGGGTGAAGGGGAGTACACCCACCTTGGGGGCAAGGTGGGCTGTGCCATGATGCAGGGTTTGGGGACAGAAAGGGGGAGTGTCCAAGGGGATGGCAGTTCAGTGACCCTCTCCCCCGCCCCTTCATATTGCAGAACACGCTGCTGTGCTTTGCTGTCCATGGGGTCTTCAAGGAAGGTAAGTGTCCAAAAGCCCCCTACCCTCCATTTCCCTAAGCTCCTTATCTCCCTCCAAATCTTGTTAAGACTCCCCCGACAGTCTACGGAGGGCCCCTTTCCTCTGTTCTCTTCACTGGGTTCTCTTCTCTCTATCTGCAGTGGATGGCAAGTCCCGGGATTTGGTTAGAGGCTTCACCCGCATGTTCATTGCTGTGCCAGCTGGCATCACAGGGTAAGAGAGATGGGGAGAGTAGGGGAAAGAAGGGGGAGGGGCAGCGGGTATTTCCTTGGATTTGCAGGGGTAGAACAGGTTGGAAGCTGCTGTCCCTAGGAGAAAGGGCTGGTAGCCTGTGTCTTCCCCTGTGTGTCCAGGCTGGGTATGGAGGGGAAATGGTTGGTATTTCCCCCAGCAGTGCCTCACCCTGATGTGCATGCCAAGTGGATGGATGGAGGGGATTCCTAGTACCTCCCCCGGGGAGTGGTAGGGGGAGCAATGGATGGAGATCTGTCTCCCTCCCCCCAGGGTTTATGGAGAGGGGATAGGAATCCCACCCCTTTGCCCTCAATTCTGAAGGGGAGAAACCCCCCTCCCCAGCTGTGCATGTGTGGAGGAGATCAAAGCCCCAGATAAACTTTGGTTTAAGCTGTACAGAGATCTCTTTGGTATAAGCTTATGAAATTTGCCCTCTTTCTCAATGTAAAGAAAAAGATGCATAGATTTCTTGTCCCCCCAGGTAATAATTACTTGCATTGGATTTATTAATAAACTGCACTGATTATAGTAAAGTATAAAACAGTCTTAATAAGTAGAATCAGTGGGGTTGGTTTTTTTGCGACTGTACGCACTAGTATGGTACCATCACTTGTTTTTGGGAGCACTTGCCACTTTCCCCCAGCCAGCCCTGGGAGCACTTGTGCTGGATGGAAGCCCGCTTGGGACACACAGCAACTAAAGGGGCCGCGACTGCATTTTGGCCCCAGTGCTTTTTTGGGGGTTTTTCCCCGACAGTTTTTCCTGCCACTTTTTTTTTGGGGGGGGGGCAACAATTTTGCCTTAGGCCCCGGCACTTTTTTTTTTTTCGGTCTTTTTTTTTTTTTTTTTTTTTTTTTTTTAACAAAACAAAAAAAGCACTGGGTAGAATACAGAACAAAGCAGGTTACTAAGCAAAATAGAACATGAGCTAAATTTAATACACTAAAGAAACTAGCTACATGTAAAATCTCACCCTCAAAGTTGTTCTAATAATCTTCACAGACTAGACATCCTTCCAGTCTGGGTCCACTTCCTTCCCCCAGTTCAGTCTTAGTTGTTTCCAGCAGTCATCTTGGATGCGGTAGCCAGGAGAATTGATGAACTAGATAACCTTACTCCCAACCCTTAAGTTTTGCAAGAGGCGGGAATCCTTTGTGTTTGATCTAAACTTTCCCTCTGCTCATGTGGAAAAATACAGCATCCAAAATGGATCTCAGCATCAAGTGATGTGGACACATGTCTTGATAAGAACCACCGTAGCCCCTCCTCCCAGGCTTACAGGAAAAAACAAGTCTATCCACAGATCATTCTCCTGAGTATTGGGCCTTTAATTCCTTGAGAATTATTAATAACCCTCACTTAGCATAGCTACATTAGTAACACAGGTTTACACTTCATATGTCTAACTTCAAATACAAGAATGCTACATGCACACAGATGGGATAAGCGCATTGATTACAACCTTTCCAATGATATCTCACCCTATGTCTCGCATAAACATAGTCCAGTTCTTTCATATTCCCATAAAGAATATGGAATGCCTTGTCTCAGGATGGATGAGGATTCCCCCAGTGCCTAACTCTCCTCACCTCCTTAGGCTATGCATTGTGAATGACCAGCTGTTTGTACGCAAAGCGAATACCGAGGAGATCCGCAAGGCCTTTGTGATGCCAGCACCCACACCCTCATCCAGCCCTGTGCCCACGCTGTCTGCAGAGCAGCAGGAGATGCTACAGGCCTTCGCCATGCAATCTGGCATGAACGTTGAATGGTCCCAAAAGTATGTAGGCCTGGGGAAGGTTGAAGGGAGGTTTGGTGCTGCTCTGTGGCTGTCACTTGCTCACTGACAGTCTCCTTCTGCTTTAGGTGCCTCCAGGACAACGACTGGGACTACAATCAGGCAGCCCAGGTGTTCACTCAGCTCAAGGTGAGACAGGGCCTGGGCCTGACTCCTTCCTCCTTTGGGGGTTGTAGGTCTCAGAATCCTGCACAAGGGGAAGAGCCAGGAGCATGTTAATTCCCCACCAGCAGCCTCAGTGCCCAGAGATAGAGGGTTGGATGAAGCCTGGAGTCACCTTGGGTGACCCCTTTTTATTTCCACAAGGATCTTTTCTCCTGGGCTGCCCTTCTGCAGGGGGCCGAGCTGCATCACTCTGTCCCAGGTCTTGTGGAGAAGATTCTGGGCTGCTGTGTGGGTATGTGGGGCACAGCTCTAGGAGTAGGACTCCTGTTGTCCCTCTATCTTTGTATTTGGAAGGGGAGTGGTGTGTAGTTTATTAGCTGGGACTTGGGGTGTTCCGTTTAGCCTCTTCTTGGGTGTTAAGAACGCTACAATGCCCAAAGTCCTAGTAATTGATTGCTGGTTTCTTTCAGACGGAGGGGAAGATCCCAGAGGTGGCATTTCTCAAGTGAGCAGCGACCTTGCAGTTCCCCCACCACTGATGTTTTATTTTCCATGACAGTTTTTGTAAATAAATGAAAGCTTAAAACAACAAAGGTGGGGACTAAATCGCTGGGAGCAATCCTCGGGCCTGGACTCTGAAGGGGCAGCCCCTGTTGCATGCCTGTGGAGCTGGGGTTGATGGACAGTCCTAGCCATGCTGCCCTGCCTCCACTCCAGCATTTCCAGCAGCAGAGGAACCAAGACTGAGAAACAGCTGTTGCTGAGGCATCCAGGAGAAGGTTGGAGAATGGATCCAGGCTTCTTCCCCTGGGGTTTTTTGCCTGCAGGGGAGAAATGACTTTTTTATGTTTTTTAAAACAAGCAGTCCTATGAGTTGCTTTAGTGAGTAGGACTGAGTGTGCCACTTGTAGCCTCTGTGGCCTGTCTCACTTTCCCAACAGACTAGCCAAGTTGGCCTCACACTTCAATCCTGCTGTGTTCACAGCCCTCCCAACTTGAACTCTTCTCAGGGGAAAGGCAGCCCCACAGGCGCTGGAGATGTCTTCCTGAGAACATGCCCCAGGCATGCTAAGATTGAGATGGGCAGAACATCTGCCTGGTCCCTGGAAAGCCTTTGCTACCTGCCTGTTTTCTATTGTAGTTGTTGTGTGGGTATGTGGGGCACAGCCCTAAGAAGATGATGGGCTTTGCTTTGGGCATTGATGGGCTTGCAGGGCTGAAGCAGTTGATGGCCTTAGCGGAGGAGCACTGGAGCTGTCATTGGCAATACTGGAGTGACAGATCCCAAGAGCTGTTAATTTCTGTGCACCCATGGGAGAAGGTCCTGGTGTCAGCCTTTACCAGGGATGCTGCAAGCACACCTTCCTGTGTGTGTGTGTCTCTGCTGTGGCATCATCCCAACAGCAGGGCTGAAGTAGACTGTTGAGGGGCAGAGCTGGGGCACTACTGCCCTCTGCTCAGTGGCCGTATGTGCTGGGAACTGTGTATTCAATAAAGTGGTGTTTGTTAGAATCTTGGCTGAGGGCTGTTGGCTACTCTCCCCCAAAACAATCTCAGTCCCTCCTCTATACTCACATCCCACAATCCCAGTCCCCTCCTCCCACCAACACCCCTAGGCCTCTTTCCCCAGCCAGCCCAATTCCCTCTTCCACAACCCCAGCCAGGGTCTCTCCCCCCCCCCTCATAGTCCCAGCCTCTCTTCTAGCGCTGGGGGCCAGAGCGTGGGGCTCTAACTCCGCGGGAGGGGCTGCCCGCCCCTACACAGGCATTGGGTTCCCACGTGGGAGGGACCGACCTGACTACAAGTCCCAGACTCCCCCGCGTTGTAGCGGGGCGATGGCGGCCGCAGGGCAGCTGCGGCTGTGGGGAGTGCGCTGCTGCACGTGGGGGGCGCCGGGCGCCTGGACCCATCTCAGTGGCGCGCGCGGCTTGGCGGGCCCGGCGTTCCACCTGGACACGCACGTGCACCGGGACCTACTGCTGTTCCGGCACGAGCGCGGCCGCTTCTTCCGCCTGCTCGGGCTCTTCTGCGCGGGGCAGTTCGTGTTCTGGGCGTACCTGGCGCACTTCGCCTTCAGCGCGCTGCGGCCCACGGGGCGGCCCGCGCCCGCCGGGGTCCTGCTCAACCCGACCTCCAACAAGTGGCGCTACGGATTCACCGTCTCCTGCCTCACCGTGGGTGAGAGCCGCGAGGGGCGCGCGGTGCCGGGGGGCCGCCGGACCTGGGGAGCCCAGGCCCGCCCTTGTCCCCGGGGAAGAAGGGAGGAGCCTTTGGGAAGCATGAACCCCAGACACTGGTAACGGGACCCCTCCTCCGCAGGGCAGAGGGCGGTCAGTGACTGGGAGCTGGGTCTAAGAGCCACCTCATTGCCCTGGGGAAGAGGAGTCTGGAGCCGGAGTCTGGTATCTCCGCCCCCCGCCCGGAGTAGCTGAGTTATCAAACCCTGCTGCGCCCCCAGCCCCGCCGATGTCCCTCAGTTCTAATCCGCAGTCCCCTGCTAGCCCAGCCCTTGGGCTCCTCTCCAGTGTTGCCAGTGCCCCCAATCCTAACCCACAGCTGGGCATGGCGGGTGGCATTACCCCTCTTTCTCCACCCCAGGTTCGCTGATCGTGGCTGCCGGCTTCATGTACTCACGCCGCTCTGTGTGGCAGGTGGGGCTGCGGCAGGGAGGACGTGACGTGACTCTCAGTACCTACTACCCCTTTGGGCTGAGCTCGTCTTTCACAGTGCCCCTGCGCCAGATCTCCTGCATGGCCCATCGTTCGGAGGTGCCTGCCATGATTCCCCTCAAGGTCCAAGGGCGACCCTTTTACTTCCTGCTGGACAAGCAGGGCCAGATCTACAACCCCCAGCTCTTTGACGTTACTGTGGGAGCTTACAGGAAGCTGTGATGGGGAAATGAAGGTGCTACCCACAGCTGGAAGATCCTGGGATTTCTGGACAGTTGGAGAGGAGACCCCAGATGGTGGGCATTGGACAGATTCACTCCTCCTCTGCCAACCTTCTTCCTTTCCCCAGGGACAACAGGGCCCAGCGCCTTTGATGGTGTGCTTTTGAAATAAAAGTGAAAGTGTGGAGTAGCTACTGTGAACTCCTTGCCAGTCAGTGTCTGTAGGCTGGCAGGATTGGAGGGTGTTGGTCATATGCTGGGCAGCTGGTAAAAGTGCAGTGGGCTGGGAGAGGGGAGAATACTGGGGTGGATGGGGCCAAAGGACACATACCATGGTGGGGCTGTGGGTCAGAGTGGGGGCTCTGGGAAGGTGGGATTTAATGCAGGAGGTGGCGGGCAGCATTTATGCAGGGGAATCTGAATCTGTGATTCCTCCCCCCGCCCCCCCAGTTCTAAATGGGCTCCAGCGACACAGGTGCACACTCAGCACAGACCACATGGCACCAAGTTAAGGGAAATAAGTTTATGGGGGTGATGTGCTGAGGGGTCCCAGCCCCCCTTCCTATGAGCAGTGCAGTCCTAAGAGGAAGACTCAGCTCTCCTCATCTTCATTGTCACTCTCCCTTTCCTCCTCCAGGCTAGGCTGTGTGGTGAGCCCTGAGGGCCAGGCCCGCCCCTGCTCTCGGGCAAGGCGCTGCCAGCGAGCATCATCACTTGAATGGGTGAGGTAGCGCTGCCCCACACGCTTCTCCAGTTCTCGCAGGGCCAGCCAGGTCTGGAAGTCCTGGGGGATGAAAACAGCACATCAACAAGTGTGCGCGGGGGAGGGGGAAATCTAGACTCTTCCTATCAGGGATGCACCATGTGCTGGGAAGAGGGGGACAGAGGATGGGCAGAGGTGGGGAAAGGGTTGAGTTAGCCATGCACCGTGGGGAGGAGGGTGCAGCTGGGCAAGGGAGAGCAGGACATCCTTCTGGGGTAGAGGGAGTTTATGTGGAGTCAGAGTGCAAGGGGATGCAGGTGTGTGGATAGGAATGGAAGGTAGGGTAGGTATCTGCAGGCAGGGGTGTGAGTGGAGTGGATAAAGATGGGAGGGAAGGTAGGTATCTAAAGATGAGTGTGGGTGGGGTGGATAGGCAGTGGGGTAGAGACGGTATCTGCAGACAGGGTGGAGGTAGAGCAGATAGGGATTGGGGGAGGGAAGGTATCTGCAAGCAGGGGTGTGGGTGGGGCAGATAGGGATTGGGGGGGAAGGTACCTGAAGCCAAGGGTGGTTCAGTGCCTTGTTCACGCTCAGTCGCTTCCTCAGCTTCACCTGCAGCAGGTTGTGGATGAGGCTAACAGCTGCAAGGAGAGGAGAGGGTCCATTGGCTG